GTCAAGGACTCCAGACCATATTGATTACATCTCTTTGCAACAAGGACCCTCCAGCACTGGCCGGCTCCACTCGAGCAGGGCAGCTCAAGTATCCGTGACGCCAGGGCTCCCCGGGCCCTACCAGCGCCCGTAATGGGAAACCAGCCACTGCTCAGGCCTGTCAGTTATTGCCTGTGGCAAGAAGGACAGCCTGGGAATTCATAATGTTGGTGACTTCATCTGCCAGCTGCATTCACACATCTTTACTACCTGAATAACTGATCTCTGCTACTCCAAGGCAGCACTTTCTGGTGTACAGCGTTTGGGAATAAATATTTGATCGCGCATACAACAGAAAAGTGCTCAGATGGTTTAAGGTGTGACAGCAGAAGTGTTTATTAAATTCCAAGTGAGAGCATTGCTGGACAGTAAAAATTTGTCCCCTGGTCCCTATCTTACAGGTGTGGTGACGAACAATAAAAGATCCTTCACAGGCAGAGGGGGAGAAGGTAGGGAAGGCAACTTCCCTCCCTCCCCCACAAAGCTAATTCTTTTGTTCATTAAAGCCTCTGCAGGCAACAAGCTATCTGTCCATGACCAGCCAGTCACACACAAAAGAAAGGGAAGTACTAAATTACAAGCCAATTTTAAGTGGACATTGGTTGAAATAACCAGAAGAGAGCTTAGTATTGTCAGAGTTTCATGCTACAATAATAAACAATCTTCATTAAAAAATGATGTGTGTATCCCTAAGAAGCACAGCACATGCCAGGTCTCAGAAAAGAACATAAAGGTTCCCCCACACCACACACAACCAAAGAGGAAAAAAAATGCTCAGGATCTTTTTCTCCTACAATTCAATTTAATTAAAACCCTCCCACTCTTAACTTTTGTATTCATCCTAAGCAAGACAGCAATAGAAATCTCCTCCGAGTAGGAAAAGGCTGATAGAAATAGAGATCAGACAACTTCACTGTCAACACTTCCCTACTCTGCTGACAATGCAGCAAAATCATTACTTGTCTGATGGATAAGTGTCAAAGACCTCTTTGTTTGAGGGAATAAACAAGGCTTTTCATAAACACACACACAGATGCATGCACTTTTTTCTAACTGAGCAGGATTGAATTAGCAGCTATGCTTGAGCATACCCGAGTACCTGAACCCTTCACATTTGGTACAGTTTAAGGCAACACTTGCCCTTACAGACTCAATGCAGCTGTGTGAGCAAATTTACTGTGATCAGGAACTGCTGCAAAGCCCTTTCCCTAGAGTTTTCTATTTCTGAAAGTTCAGATATCCTAACCCTCCCACACCCTTAAATTTCTCTATTATTTAGTACTAGTAGAGTTCTATCAGGTTTGATCTTCAAGTATATAACATACATGATATGCATCATTCATTCACAGGTTATTGTATAAAAATGCAGGATGGTGCCTGGAAATACTCAATTACAAGTCCAGCCTATGCTTGTATTTTCTAGTATTAGTCTCCATCACTCTGTAGATACCCTCAAGCCAGCCAAAAATCGTATCTGAAGACAGTCCCATCAAAGAAAGGAACAGCATTCAGTGCATACAGGTAATGGGAAGTTTTCAAATCATGCCTGTAGAGGGGTTGAAATAAATACAGTTTAGCCTTTTTTGGTTTTTTTTTAGTTGCACTACAAATTTCTGTCTCAGGTATTTGATTTGGTTGTGTGAAGAACGTGACCTTCAGTTACAGCATCTCCTGCAGACAAGGCACTTATAAGGGTTTTTCCTCCATCTCTGGTGCCTAATAGCCTCAAATGTAACCTGATGTACCCACCTTTGGTAGACCCGCTGCAATCAAAGCACTGCTTTGGAAAGGACAGACAGACACACGTGTCTGCTTGCTACACACAGCAGCATTCACCACATGCACAGAGGTGGTTCTACTGCAGCATTTTTATTAAAGGCTTCCTGCTTCATACAGCTCTAAACTCAGTCTTGTCCCTTTAACATTTCTAACTGCCAATCTGGAACAGCATCTGGAATTACAGTGCATTTCATCCTTGAGGGTATATTCTCTCTGTGATGCATATAACTGTGTGCATTGAGGGACGAATGTCCAGTAGCTTTAGGTAACTACATTTTTGCAAACATTTCTTAAAGATTTCATTAAAAAAAACAAAACAACAAGAGAATAGTATGTCAGCAGAATTTTAAGTCAAACTGAAATAGGCTTTTTAAAAAAAATTTACCCAAGGAATCTTTAGAGATACTGCTATCCATTTTCAAAATGCTATTGCAAATTTTCAGGATTGATTTTCACATCTTAGAGTTCTGTACTTTTTACACTTTTGCAAATGATCTTGTGAAAAAATACTGTCATTAGTATATTGTAGTTTCACAGACATTTGAAAATAGTGATTAAAATAATTACACGGTTGTCTTAGTAACACAGCAACAGAGTTGTCACCAAAGGGGGAGAAGGAAGGAAGTTATCAAGAACAGTGGAAGAATAATGGAAGATGATAAACATGTACTTGAAATCTTTTGATAGGAAGAACAAGTGATGGAGCTAGATAAGAAGAGGCGCCACGCTGGTTCTATCTCTAAGCAACAGGCAATCAAACAGCCAGATAAGCATCTTCATAAAGTGCAACAGACTCGAATGCATGGGTCATAACTGAAGAATCACTTCCTGGTTCAGCTTAGCTAGTAAAAATTTATGACCTACTTAAAATCCTTCAAACCTAAAAATGTATTTCCCAATAAATTTGTTTTCCATAAAGACTGTAAGCCATTTAGGGCATGCCTTGGTAATAGCAGGAAATGAGAATACTTACAGTAGTGGATTGTAGCATAAAAAATGCAATGTTAGACTTGAACAGCATTTAAAGTAAAATCTTAAAGATTCAGAGCTTAACTTAATGCAATTGTCTGCACATCTCAAAGGTGGGAAAAAAATATAAAATACTTTTCTTCCTTTTGCTGGGCTCTGTTACAAGAATAGCATGAGGTCTCAAACAGTGCATGATTTCTCTTCCTTTACTCTGGAACAGAATTCACACCTGTGTACCCTCACACAACATCTGGTGTATCTACCCTAAATTTGGACAAATAATTTCTGCATGGGAAAGGATGGGGATCAGGCAATATGAAAACTGAAAATAGATGGTCAAGCCACTCAGTCAAAAATCAATTCAAATCCATACTGTCTGGCAGTGAAGTTAAATAAAATACTGCTATCAGCATGTCCCTAACAAAATCCATGTATTGTTTATGAGAAACTTATGAGGTGTTTTAACAAACCTGAGTCACTGCTGTACAGTAAATATATTCTCAGTGTCATAACAATGTATACTATTGACTGTGGCAATTTTAATATGAACACACATGTTAAAGGCATTACCAATAGAGCTTCATCTCATTCACATGAGCCATTTCATACATTCATATGAAGCATTTAATATTAAAGCCTCATCCACACTACTGGAAAGGTTGTTTATCACCAAGGAGGTATAGTCCTATGCGGTTTGTTGTTTCTATTGTTGATGGAATAACACAGTTTTACAAAGTGTAATGGTTACAGAATGGTTCTGTTTCAGAACTAATACATATCCCTGCTACAGGTAATAGAACTGCTCTGTTCATACATGGCAGGGAGAAAACCAACCCTGACAACCCAGATATCTGTATCAGCTGGTAGTGGAGAACAGCCACGTCATTAATCACTTGGCATCTGAAGTGTCAGATACACAGACAGAAGCACTCCTATGATTTAAGCTTGCAACCTTCAAGGAACAATAGGCATATATGAATTAGTCCAAAAAGCCATAACTGTTGCATTCATGTTTTCTTCCGTAACAAATAATTATTTTCACAATTACTTTGTCATGTACTAAATGAAATAAATGTCCCTTTAAATAATCAGAATCAGATGTTTGTCTAAGCTCAACGTGACTTAATTTAACAAGTTTTAAATATTTGAAAATGAAATTGATAATGAAAATTCTCCATGCCCGAAGCAAACGTAGTTATTATCGAACTCAGTTATAAACACATCCAAGAAATACCCTGTAATACCCAAATAAATTAATTTGGCAAACCAAGCAATATCTTGGACTCAGAATTTATATCAATAGCAAATGAAGTCTGGAAGAGGAGCTTTTTTTTTAACTCTCTTTAAAACAACCTTCAGAAACCAGTTTCTGCATGTGCTACAGTCTCTTTTTACAGTTTAACCTCAATCCAATCAGCAGTCTCCAGGGATTTTCAAATCGCTAAAGATTAAAATCCTCTCCAATTTGACTGTTTGACTAATGCTACGTGTTTAATAATTCTACTTGTGAGAGATTTTATTTGACAAAATCCTGCTGCGTGGACCCTTCAGATGCTATACAGCTGTACTAGAACACAAAGCTCTGCTGTCTTTGTTTCTTTATGCAGACTATAACCCACCACTGGGCAAAAAAAAACTTTATAGTACATATATTACTATGTTGATATTAACATAACCACTGTAGTATTAAATTTACAGACTCCTTTAGAGCAAAGCAGTGAAAATGTGCCTATTACACAAACATGAGATAAACTGTCCTGTTGTCTTGACTGTTCACAGGAAATAACTGTATTTATGATTACATTTCAATGAAAGCTATTTTATAAATGAGATGGAACTGTAATATTCTACGCTTTAGGCATTCATTAATGAAAGCAATTCACTGTTAGTATTTGAAAATGTTCTGCTTTTTAGTTTAGGCAGCCTTTAGTATTCTAGAGTTCATGTTAAATGTAACATAAATATTGTGTTCATACCTTGTCACAATGCTGTGACTTCAGATTTGAGTGGCAAGAGGTAAAAAAGTAACAATCATGGCAACTTTCAGTAAGTATTTGCGTAAGACAGCACTTAACCTGCTGTGCAGCTGAAAATCATGATATCCTTTTACAGATACGGCAATGGTTAGTAAACATGTTACCAGACAAAAAAAAAAGACAAGTTTGATGAACACCACAGATACCAAAGAAAACATGAAATAAGTATGTTTCTACCTGAGGTAGCATCAATCACTGTTGAACCTCCTCTGCGATCAGAAACTGGACGTGAAGACCCCGGCATGCTCACAGGTTCTGAACGAACAGGCTGAATCCTAGAGAATAAATTATAGTTACCACCTGTGTCCAAATCCTTGCTCCTAAGGGCTGTAATTAAATCACAAACCTGAATCAGCTGAACCAATTAAGCAACTACTTACCTTTAAATCAGCCAACTGTTGAAAACTTTGGTTTTCCTTTGCTTTGTGGAGCCAAGATCTGGATAATCCAGCCAGAGACAGATTGAGGCTCTACACAAAGTGAATATTTCCAAACTATGTCTCAGATGTGAGCTCTGACAAAGCCTCAAAGGAAAAAGCTCACTCTACCCAAGCTGGTTAAAAAGCCTCTATCACCTCCTGAACAGCAGCACTTTCATTGTCAGTTTAGGAGAAAAGACACATTTGCAATTGTCTCTCCCTTTTGTAACATATAGCTATATAATTTTAAATTCTGCTTTCTTTCTACATATCTACACATGTACACAGTAAAAAAAACATTAAAAATTGACAGCTTGTGGGAGCAATTACATGCAAGGAGAAATCACACATTTCAAAACCATGTATTTTCAGTCCAAGGACAATGTGCCCAGTTTTAATGGGATTAGTCATATTATCCATCTCTCATTCTACTCCTAAAAGTTTCAGACAGAGTCCCAAACAATCCAAGTCCATACCACAGAACTTTGGACTTCAAATCACATGCAGAGTCAGAAGCATGGAAACTCATTAAATTTTGAAAGTTACTGGACAAGACACAAACACATGGTGCATAAAACACTTCTACAAAATAAGAAGCTATCAGTAAATATAAACCTGCATTTACCTTCACTCTCCTTCCTTCCCCAGGCCCACCCTCTGATCCCAATTCCAAATCAACCAACATTGCAAAAGAGATTAATTAAATACATGAAAAAGAATTACAAGGAAGCAAAGGAAGGGGAAAAAAGATAGGGAGGGGAAAACATTCCACAAGTTCCCTTACTGTTCCAACACACTAGCTGCTGCACAGTCAGCATCTAAATGTATGGCATAAAGCTCCAACTCATGGCTGAGAAAATAAATTATTAAGCAATGCAGAAACTGTGAAAGCCACGAGGATGCTAAGCAAGACCGCTGGACTTTGTACTGTCTTTGTCATCTGCACAAGAAGGGGCAGCAGAAAGCAATCTAAGCTGCTTGGCCTGGATGAATTTCTATTGTTGTTGAGTCACACATTCTTCTACAATTTTCATCTGGACAAGCCTGATGAAAACTATTACACATTCTACACAGATGGCCTTATTTAAGTATGAGGCAAGTTATTCACACAACAAATGTGAAACAGCTTAGAAATTGATTTTATTTTTACCTGAGACTGTTAAGATCAAGATCATCTGTATCAAAGTCCAGAAGAGGCTGCGGGGTATCACTTGGACCGTGCGACTGCAGCACTGAAGAACTGGATGAAATGACAGTAGTTTGGCCTGAGGGGTGGATTGTTTTGAACTGGAACTGTGGGCCCATCCACAGGCGTCGATGGGGCCCAGTGTGAGTCACTATTTCAACCTGTGGGAAGACAGAGGAATGCTTAAACATAACCCTGCAATACACTGGATAGTCCCTTGAATTCACTGAACTCCCAGAATCCTGCTCCTGTTTGGCAAAACAGAGCATTTTGTGCCATCAGTTCAGATGAATGCTGAATAAGGGAAAATTTTGAACGCTTTTGCTAGACAGAGATGCTCTTGGCAAAGCCAACAGCTTCTTGTGGAGCCTTGAAAGTCCCTGACCCACCAGTTTGAGGACACAGCACCCTGGCTCCTAAGCTGTTCCACAGACTGACTCTCCATCCTGGCTACCACTTCACCTGACCCTGTTCATTCTTCCCCTTGCCATTAAGCAATACACATGATGAACACTAAAAGCCACCCTTGTGGTTCAACAAACAGGGGAACACATTTCCACCTGCATCTACATGGAGTAGAGAGAGGAACTACTGAAAATCCACCTCTTTCAGGTAACCTCAGTCTTGACCAGGCCAAGGGCTGCACTATTCAAAAGCAAACTGTTAAGAGCTTAGTTGCTGCTGCTTTCTCCAAGTTGACACATTAGACAGCCCCACTTCACATCTATACAGAATGAAGTGGATTTGAAATCAAAGCTCCTAACTGCTGCTGGCCCATCTGAAGACAGTGCTGGCAGGGACCATCCTTCTGGAAGGCCACCAGATTCATTACAGAGAGCAATGGGAAGTGTCCTGCAAGATGCTGAACAGCCTAGGTCACGTTCATTACTGTGCAGGTGTCAGATGAACATGTATGTGCAACACACAGTTTAGAACTGCAGGTCCACATACACATATATATTAATCTAACCACAGTTCTCACAATTACAATAGAAAAGTATTTGCTTGCCATGAACAACCACCTATACATTAAATAATACAAGATGTGCGTATTGAGATGTGTGTCTGCATGTAGATGAGCAGATCTACACAGAAGCTTCTTAGTTCCATGCCTACTTCCAAAAGGGACAGAGAACACAGCCAGTGTCTTTAACAAACAATAATTTCAAATACTTAGATTTTCCTCTAGTAACTGGCTTCCAGTGAGAACCTAGACATGAACTTTCAAAAAAATAGCATATTTCAGTAAATGAAACATCCAAAATATTTTAAAAATGTCTTTTCACACTGAAAACTATAAACCTCATGAGTGTCAATTCTGGCAAACTCTTCAGTAAGCCAACTACAGGAACGCAAACAACCATGAAAATATAAGACTGGAAACATTTACAATGAGGGAAATTTGCCCTTTTAAATAGAAGAGTAAAAAAAGCCTAAGTCTTCTTTAGTACAATTTTAAAAATAAAAAAGAGCCTTTAAAGATCAAGAAAAGGAAATACGAAATGAAAATATTAAGCTCTTAATCAACTTTTAAGATGACAAAACCAGATTACTAAATTCCTAATAATTTGCCAAAATAATGATCAGCTTCACAGCTTCCTAACTCCTTAAGATGCAATTTTAAGCACTGGATAATGTTGTTCTAAGTTCTCTGCTAACGTAAGACAACAAATGCACGGCCTATTTAGCACTATTTCCATCCTTGCATTTATCTCAGCATAACTCAGACTGACTGCAGACGCTTCTGAGGGAAGTAGCTTTTAGGTAGCAGTGTAAATTAGGCCACAGATAAAGTAATCTGTATATTTTAAGCTTGAAACCATCAGTGTCACAGAGCCGAGAGGTAAACAGATGCCCTTGCAATTTTACTGAGGCTACAGCCAGATGTTTCTATTCACTTTCCTGTTGTGTGCAGGACAAACATATTGTAGCTACTTCACACTGACAGCACACATTACCCACTGTTCTAATTGAAAAGCTGAAGTGAAGGGCAGTGTTTTTTCACTGTATGCTGTTCCTGTTGATAACAACGCTTTAATTTTGAAAAACATACTTGCACTTTAGGCCTAATCTAAAGTGGCTTGCTGAGAGAATGCTAGCATCTTCCTGCTCAAATAAACTATCATCACTCTTTTCAATTAGCAAAAAATTAAACATTCCAGAGGTATCCCCTGAATTATCTGAGTTCTGTAACATCAGTTGGGATTTATTTTTTTTCTTATAAATATATTTACTCTTCCTGAAGGATTGATATAATGAAGTTCATGCAGTCTTAAGTTCCTTTGACATCTTGTATCTTCCAAGAATTAGTAATCAATCAACCCCCATAATGAAGATTTACTTTGCTCCCTTTGTCCTGAGGTTTCCCACTATAGCAGAAAGTCACCAGAACAGTAAAATAAGCTAAACTATCCAAACAGCACTGGAAAGGACAAGTGGAAAACTATAGGTGGAATCTGGGCCCCAGTGAGCTAAGGGTTAAATTCCTGTTGACTACACTAAGTAGTTTCACCATCTTTATGCTCTGACAAATTAGAGGCAGCATAAGCAAATAAGATATATCAGTGCACAGCCACACTGGAAAACTTAGGCCAGGTAAATGGATTCACATGAACAGATTCCCCAATGAATGCTGCTCCCAGACCAGTCCATGTGGAAACCTAACTTCTCATTTTTGGGAAGTGCTGTGTATGATTTATTCACCAGTGGGAGAAGAAAATCACATCCGTGAATATTTCATATTTATGCCATACACCCCAGCAACACATTTAATGCATCACTCCCATAACAACATTGTTCATAAACTAAAGGAAACCCACCTAATTTGTCAGATGAATTCCATGTATCAGGTACTCTGTAACTGCTTTGGTAAATCCAGAGCATTTGTAACTCTTATTTATTTATTTAACCTTTTATTTCTTACAAGAACTAATTCTTAGTGTATTATTCATGACCTGCATTCTTAAATGAAGTTATGTTCTGAGCCAATTATTCTAGTATGTACTGAGTTCTTAAACAGAAACTTTAAGGACTGAAACAAAGCAAGAATGGATAAAACTACTAAGATCTAACCTCATACAAAATTATGCCACTAAGCAGGATCACTCCAAAGCACGCCAGTATTTGCACCAAGCTATAACTCAAAGGAATTATCAGTAGGAAATGCAATAACAGATAACCAGGAGAAGAAGGAAGCAAGCCAATGAATCTACCATTTTTATGCTACAATGCAGTAAGTCCAGCACAGGTCACAAATGAAAAGGCATCATTGTTTGCCAAGTCAACTTCCTTTCTCCGTGTTGGAAAAAGACCAGGTAGTGGTAAATTTCTGTTGCCAACTTAAACTTCCTAATTCACCCTGAACTTCCCAAGGATGTGACTTGTGCCAGTAGCGATGGGGGCTTTACATAGTTTTTAATACAGTTTGTAGAGTTTGTAGAAAAGGTAAAGACCATCAAATTCATACCACATTAAGCCAGGAGTGAGGTCAGTTTTACACACAGCAACACCCATGGCCTACTAGAAGCTTACTTTCCATTTTGAAGAAAGTTGTGAATTTTACTTCCAGTGGATGCTATTCCTGCTTCACTGCTGAATGGGAGCTCCCTCAAAAAGCATACCTGGGAAAGCCACTCTTCATCCTCTTGCCCACTGTGGTCAGATGCTAAGCTGTCATATGACTCATGTCGAGTGATCGGGCCAGGGCTTCCTGGTGGAACCACTGAAAAAAACAAAACAAAACAGAAAATTTAAGAAATCAGTTTTACTGTTAAAATGCTTTAAAACACCCCCCCAAACAAACAAAAAACCACCACCAGAAAAAAACAAACAAACAACAAACAAACAAAAACTGTCAGTAAATTCTATATTCCAATGTTGTATTGCATTATAGCAATACTGTAGAACAATTCTGGGCAGATAAGAATAACACTTTTTTTCAGCTGCACATGACAGTGATAACTAGAAGGATATATTAGTTTAAACTGAGGGACAATTCAGCCATGACTGGGTACATTTTTCTTTGACTCAACATCAGATCTGCCCACAAGTGCTGATCAGCAAACTTTTTCTTGACATCACCATGAAAATCGGACAGAACTGTAACTTCTACTGTTTTCAAAGACTGGTACAAACAAATCAATTCACAGAGCAAAACTAAATTAATTTTGTTCCTCTGTTCACTACTTTCATTCATCTTCATATGAACACACTGCAACAGAAAACTGCAAGTTCTTCAGCTCTCCAGACTGCATGATACCTCAAACCACTTCTAAAATTATAGCCATCTACACATACAACATGGAAAATCACAATTTAGTGTTCAAATGCTACCACAAAAGAGAGTCATAGACTTGCTATTGTAAGAATTAGTATTTAATAATTCCTGGTCCTTGAGTCACTTAAATATATTAGCAAAATGTAGAGCCTAGCTACTTTACTTCCTATGGCAGTAGCTTTATGCTGCTCTAACTAAAATGTCACACTTGGGAACCACAAAAGACTTTAGAAACAGCAAAAGGCCAACAAGCACCCCAGATAATAAGAAAGGTGGAATTTTTCATTCTATTGTACCTGCTCACTGTCTGGGGCCTGCTGGAGGCCTAGATTCAATACCGAGAGCTTGAGAGAAGACACCACAAAAGCAAATTAAAAGAAGCAAATGGAACAATGATATTTTTGCTTTGGCAAAACAAGAGAGTTTTATGCTACAGCATCAAGATGCTGAACAATACAAAAATTCAAAGCAGTATTTCTAAATTGACAATCTAAAAATGACTCAAATTTTTTAAAATTAATGTTAAAAAACTGTATTATTCCAGGGTTGACCTTTACGTGTCAAGCTTCCATCCACTACAAATTTTTACAGCTTTGTTGTAAACCCCTAATAATAAGAGTTTATAATGGCAAAGCAGACACATTCGTAACCATAAATACAGAACGGCGCCTCTGTAACACAAACAGCACAGGGTTTTCATAAATCCATACACTACATGAAATGAAGGGATTTTCATCTTGTTTATGTAAGTGGGATCTGCACCCAACCTCAGCCACAGAGCCATTTCTAACACCTCTGTATCGCAGCCTGTCCTTATTCCAAAACCCGCCATATACCAACTTCAGTTCAGGCCCTAACTTATTAAAGAATTATTTAAATAAAGAACTATTTCAAGTGCTACATCCATCAGGACATATTCTTACAAAGTGCCAAGTTTTTCCCAGGAGATCCCACGCATCTGCCATATGCATTGAATTAATCCAATCGGCGCCTGGGCCGGTGTGTACGCCCACACCTCAGCAGCCGCAGCCGTTAAGAGTTCAGCCTTGTGTGTCCATCAGTTTTCAGGAGAGCACAGAAACAACATTCATCTGCTTCATTAAGACCATGACAGATCTAATTCAATGACTTACGGATGTGTCTGTCCAGCCCGTATCAAGCTCATGTTCAGGAACTGCACATACCTTCCTGGATTGCAAACAGCTGACAGTCACAGCAAATATCTGAATATAAGACCATAATGTCTCCAATTCTTCCACACCAGCAAAGTTTATATTTGAAACCAATGAAACAAAACCATTATTTTGACACGTTTTGCTGTTGCCCTAATCTTCCCCATATCTCCTGACTCCCCTACAATAAATTGTGCTGCCTGCAGTGCTGCCTGTTGCTGAGGGCACAGCTGATCAACTGCAGGCTTTCCTGTTATTGAACTCTGCTAACAAACTGTTCATGACTCCAGCAGATGTTTCTGCTTTCAAACCAACAGGAACTTTATGGACTGTTCTGAATTTTTTTTTGTTCTTTCTATCCCAGGGGTAACTACTAGAGCTGTCATGATTAGGGAAGCTGTTATTCAGTGACTAGCTGCAAGAACTCTCTAGCCCAGGCAGCAGCACCCACCCTGCTTTGTCACGATACTTCTCCCTTGCATAATCATTTTACATTTTACTGGGGATTCAAGATGGCTTTAAAGGGAATAAGAAGCTGAAATTTAAGAAGAGTTTTGGTCCTGCACTTTATGCCTTTTCCTGAGGAATCACAGCTTTGCACAGCTCTTGCAGTAAGACACATTTCAGACCCCAGCATTAACTCTTTCTACCAAAAAGTGACGACATGCTGAATTCCATGGAAAAGCTCTGCCTTAGAGTTCACCAGCAGGGCAACAGTGATAAAGCCTCAGCTGAGGTCAAACCTCAGTAATTTATTTTGCTATTTAATAAAATAGCATTTATGTACCACACCTATCACACAAGCAGGCATTTAATGAGAGTCTGGTTTTGATAGCAGGATCCCATAACACCAGTCCCAGCCTCACCACAGGCAAAGCAAGCTCGACTCCCACTGCCCTTAGTGGGAGCACAGGGTGTTTTGTGAGATACAACCTTTCAAGACAAGTGATCCTTGCTGGAGCTTTGCCATGGCTGTACTGCTTGTTACTGACAGACATACGGTCATTTTCTCAAGTTAAAAATAGCCTTGAAGTTACAGAAACAAATATGTCCTAAAAACATAAAACTGCTGCTTTCTTCCTTTCTGGGTCACACACCTCTTGCATTGGTATCAAGTTCCAAGATGAGATTAATTTAAGCCTGGAGGGACATTTCCAGGAATTTGAGCTCAAAAGTAATCTTTAATCTTCCAGTTAATTCTTTGAAAATCTGAAATCACACTGGAAATTATGGCAGCCTCTTCTTACACATCAGTGAAGCCATCCTTATGCTGTAACACAGAGGGGTTTTTCATTTTCCAGATAAATTTACCATCATGCAAGATAGCAAATGATAAAATTCAAATTCTTCAAAGGCTTTGCTGCAAGGAGTGTGGGTTTTTTTTCTTGCACTCCCGTAATTTCTCTTTCATTGAGAAAAAGTCACAAATGGCACATGGACAGACAAGGAGCAAATAAGCTCTTGTTCCACTGAGATATTTTACTGCCAATTGCAGGTGGTTTGTACCTTCCTAGAATAATAAATTCAATACTTTGTGCCTGAGAGATGCCAATTTTTAACTTTTTGCTATTTTTACACCAACATGTGGGACAAACCTATTTCAAATATCAGAATGCAATGGAGTTTGTTTAATCTAGAAATACACAAAATTGCAGAAATTGGTACAATTAACCATGGAGCAAAAAAGTACAGAGAAAATGAATGTTTATTAAAAATCTAAGGTGAGCACTAGCATGTACAATTTCTGTTTATGCAGTATAGCAGGACATGAATCTCTAAACTTTACTTATAAATGCAAAAAACCTTCATAAGCAAGCACTGAAGGTCACTTTTCAAAAACCAGAATGCGACCTGCAGCAAAAATCAGCTTTGCCACAAATATTTGCCAGGGGGTTAAATGTATTAGAGTGGCTCAAAAACAATAGTAGCACCTTTAATCCCTGTCCTTCTTTGAGTGAAAAAGTGATCTGCATTGACTCTAAATCTGGAATATACTCCTGTCCCTCCATCCTGACAAGCTCTACCGAACCACTCCAAATTTAACTAAGGAAGAACAGAATCTCAGTGCAAACTGTTTTACTTCATCTTCCTTCGTAACTTGAATGCTGCCATCTCATTTTCTACCCTCAAAATCGTAGGTGCAGGTGCTTACCCATCACCTAAATTTTTAAAGTTTGCAGACTCCTTTCTTTCAGTTACAGGATGAACCTTACTAATATATTGAAGAAAGATTATTAAAAGAAAGGGTCTGAAAAAAACCCAAACCACTACAACTTTAGTGATGTGTGTTGTCATTGGAAGTGCCAGGAAAACTGCACAGAAGTGTCTGTGGAGGCAAAAGTTTCAAGACAAGGTGAAACAAAGGCTAAAATACAGCTGAACTGATGTTCCCCAGCAACTCCAAGACCTGATTCAATGATTAAGTATGAAACAAAGCCTATGGTTTTGAAACTTTGCCATGGTATTTAGTGACAAATACAGAAAACAAACCATTTTTACTGATGTGAAATAATCTGCATAGACATTCCTGACACGTGAGCAAGACCTAGACAAATACAAATGCTTGACGAATATTGGAATTAACAAACAGTGGTTTTGTTCAGAGATGAGCTAATTATACAATAAATACCTAGACCTAAGACGAATCTTTACTCATCCAAAGATTATAAATTGTCATCTTTCAGCAGCATTGAAGTGTTGGAACAAAGAAACACTACAGCTCAATTGTAGTGTGCGCGCTTATGGTTTTAATTTGCGAACAATAAATCATTAGTTTTACTTAGTTTTGTGTACTTCTTGAACCAAAAGGTTTTAATTTTCTCATTTATATAAATAAGCTTTACACAATTCAATTTAATTGAGAGTTATATATGAAATTCCCGATGTGCTCTTCTCCAAGGCATGTATGTTTGTCCAAATTAAGAGCAAACAAAGGCACTGGCAGACTATAAAGACTGTTAGTTCTGTGCTGCCTGCCATACACATGCCTGCAGACACCCTGAGAGCTTTCCTTTATTGCAACTGAACACACAACATTTATAATTCGAAATAAGATTCTAAAATCTAGTAGAAACAGAAACAATGTACTTAATTCATTAAGTCTGAAGTCTATCCTGTGTCCACAGGCAATCTCTAGTCATGGCCATGGCAAACAGAATGAAAATGACATATCCCTTGTTTCATACAAATCACCACCCCACATCTGATTTTGATGCTTTTCCTGTGGTTCCCAAGTTACATCTAAAATGATCATAGGTGGTTTAGAGACCTGAG